TAATAAAACAGAAATGCATAAATGATATAATAAAGCTACTTGGGAGGATGAGGCAAGAGACTCACTAAAGCCCAAGATTTGGAGGTTGCTATGAGCTGTGACGCCACAGTACTCTACCAAGGGCAACATAATGATACTTTGTCTCAAAAAAAAAAAAAAAAAAAAAGAATGTGTTTATGATTTCCAGTAAAAACTTAGGGGAAAAAAATAGCAGAGAATGATCATTTTTCTTGACTATGTTTAAATTTCCTCTGGAAGAACCTTGATAATTCAAATATTGTGGGGTACAAATGAAGAATATGAAAACACTGAAGAAGGCAGGTTACCACACACAAGCTCACCTGATGTGCAACTCCTTTAAGCGGCCCTGTCGGGTCCAAGTACGTGAGGCATGAGATTGCACTTGGAGACTGGCACCAGGTACCTTCCTCCGGATCCCAGAGAATGCAGAAGGCTTCTTTTTGGACAGTATCTTTGGAGAATAAGGTTTCTTAACAGCACCATCTTGCAGTAATTGACTTGCTCCATCCCTAAAAGACCTTAAACATGAGAAGTAAGGAGGCAAGAAGAAAACAAAATTATCTCTGCATGATTATCAAATAGATAAGCTCACTGAGAGAGATAGTAACTATGCTTCAAGGACAGTAAGCAGCCCAATCTCTGACAGAAACATGGGCCAGCTACTGGAGGTGAGTACAGCTGGGTTGGCTCTGGGCAGGTTCTGCAGAGCTGGAGGGTATCCTGGAGTCATTAGGTCTAACACACTCTTTTGTAGAAGGCAATTTTAAGGGGAGTAATGTGCAAATGTGAACCAAGTTCCTTTATATAAAGAATAATTCAGAAAGATTTTCAGATAAGATGACTTTGCTATCAATATGAAACCACATACTTTTACTAAACATTAAATTTTTTTTTTTTTTTTTTTTTTTGAGACAGAGCCTCAAGCTGTCGCCCTGGGTAGAGTGCTGTGGCATCACAGCTCATAGCAACCTCCAATTCCTGGGCTCAAGCAATTCTCCTGCCTCCTCCTCCCAAGTAGGTGGCACTACAGGCGCCTGCCACAACACCGGGCTATTTTTTTGGTTGCAGCCGTCATTGTTGTTTGGTGGGCCTGGGCTAGATCCAAACCCACCAGCTCAGGTGTATGTGGCTGGTGCCTTAGCCACTTGAAATTTTTGACCATTAATTCCACATCAGAAAAATTAAGAGATTGTCTTTTACAATTATGGATGGAAAAAGTAGCGCCAAAACCCTGTGGTGTTGAATGGGAAAATGGAGGTATTGGTATGAACTAATGATTTAAACAATAACAAAAAAGTCTATTTCAGAGCTCTGCCCATAAGAAATACCAGGAGCAATAACATCCCGTTAGAAATGAGCATATCTAGAAACCAAAGATTGTCTCTGAACAGCGTTCTCTACTAAAAGGAACCAGGGCTCCTTAAAGAAATGGCTGCCTTTCAGGACAAGGGAAAAATAAGATAAGCCTAGAATATCTTATTGGGTTCAAAGAATGATGAGGGCATGTTAAAAAGATACAGGAACAAGGGCGGCGCCTGTGGCTCAAAGGAGTAAGGCACTGGCCTCATATGCCAGAGGTGGTGTGTTCAAACCCAGCCCTGGCCAAAAACTGCAAAAAAAAAAAAAAGATACAGGAAGGAGCTTGAAAAGGCTTCTGGTGCCCAATTTGGGACAGTTTGAGCAATAACAATTTGAGCAATTAAAACCAATTAATAAAACAGAAATGCATAAATGATATAATAAACCTGAGCTCACAGGTTTAAGATCAGCCTAAATCAGAGCGAGATCCCACCTCTAAAAAATAGCCGGGTGTAGGCAGTGCCTATTGCTCAGTGAGTAGGGTGCCGGTCCCGTATTCCGGAGGCAGTGGGTTCAAACCCAGCACTGGCCAAAAACTGCAAAAAAAAAAAAAAAAAAAAAAAAAAGAACAGCCAAGAGTAGTGGCAGGCACCTGTACCCAGCTACTTGGGAAGCTGAGGCAAGAAAATCACTTAAGCCCAGGAGTTTGAGGTTGCTTTCACCTGTGATACCATGGCAGGCACTCTACCAATGGTGACAAAATAAGACTCTGTTTCAAAAAAAAAAAAAAAAAGAAAAGAAAACCCAAACAGATATGCGGAAAAAATAAACTATCCACATTTAAAACTAATATAACCATGTAATGAGACATAATGCAAGTTCCAAAATATTTCAAACACCTGAAATTATACACAGTATATTCTTTGATGATATAGCAATTAAGTATAAAAATCAATAACCTAAAGGTAATTAGAAAATCCTTGCATATAATTGGAAATCAAGAAATATATACCTGGCTTAGTGCCTGTAGCTCAGTGAGTAGGGTGCCATCCACATACACCAAGGCTGGTGGGTTCGAGCCCAGCCTGGGCCAGCTAAACAATGACAACTACAACCAAAACATTAGCCAGGTGTTGTAGCAGGCACCTGTAGTTCCAGCTGCTCAAGAGGCTAAGGCAAGAGAATTACTTAAGCCCAAGAGTTTGAGGTTGCTGTGAGCTGTGACGCCACAGCAATCTACCAAGGGCGACATAATAAGACTCTGTCTCAGCTCGGCGCCTGTGGCTCAAGAGCCTAAGGTACCAGCCACATACACCTGAGCTGGTGGGTTCGAATCCAGCCCAGGCCCGCCAAACAACAATGACGGCTACAACCAAAAAATAGCCAGGCGTTGTGGTGGGCACCTGTAGTCCCAGCTACTTGGGAGGTGGACGCAGGAGACTCGCATGAGCCCAGTAGTTAGAGGTTGCTATGAGCTGTGATGCCACAGCACTCTACCCAGGGTGACAGCTTGAGGCTCTGTCTCAAAAAAAAAAAAAAGTGTGTGTGTGTGTGTGTATATATATATCTTAGTGGAAATTAACAAGTATGTTTAAATTGTAATAAAAACTCTACATATCAATATATAGAATGCAAATACAGTCATGCTTAGATGAAAATACATAGCATTAAGTGCATATACTATTATATAAAGAATTAAGACTAGGACAGTGCCTGTGGCTCAGTGAATAGGGTGCCCACCCCATATACCAAGGGTGGTGGGTTCAAACCTGACCCTGGCCAAACTGCAACAAAAAAATAGCTGGGCGTTGTGGTGGGTGCCTGTACTCCCAGCTACTCGGGAGGCTGAGGCAAGAGAATCACCTAAGCCCAAGAGCTCAAGGTTGCTGTGAGCTATGATGCCACAGCACTCTAACGAGGGCGATAAAGTGAGACTCAGTCTCTACAAAAAAAAAGATTAAGATTCAAAACTCAATGAGCTACAGATCCATCTTAAGAAGAAAAAGAACAAATTAAGCCCAAATATCAGAGAAAATAATAAAGAGCAGAAATTAACGTGCTAGTATGCCAGACATCTCCAAGACCACCCCGAGGTTCAGTGACTCACTATATAGAGGACTCTGCATATATTAATTGCTATACTTAAGGCTGTGATTTACTATAGAAAAAAGATACAAAGCAAAATCCACAAAGGGGTACAGAGGAATAGAAAAAGGCTAGCAGAAATCAGGTACAAGCTTCTAAGAGTCCCCTCCCAGTGGAATTCTACTGAATACCCTCGGTTCCTCCAGCAGTGAATTATGACAAGTGGGAAGCATCGTCTACCAAGAAAGTTTATTAGAGACTCAGTACCCAAAGTTTTTATTGGGGGCTGGTCATACAAGCATCCTCTGCCTAACATATACCAAAATTGTACAAATAGTGTAGGCACAGTTAATGGTTCTTATGAGTTAGGGAATGGTGGGAACACTCCCCAAATCTAAGTTTATGATACCAGTCAAGAGCCAAATTTGTAAGCAGGACTTTTTTTTTTTTTTGCAGTTTTTGTCCAGGGCTGGGTTTGAACCTGCCACCTCTGGCATATGGGGCCGGGTGTCCTACTCCGTTGAGCTATATGCGCCTTCCATGGACTTTTTTTTTCCTTTCTAGAGACAGAGTCTTACTTTGTTGCCCTTGGTAGAGTACTATGGCATCATAGCTCACAGCAACCTCCAGTTCCTAGGCTCAGTGATTCTCTTGCCTCAGTCTCCTGAGCAGCCAGGACCACAGGCGCCTACCACAAAGCCCAGCTTTTTGTTGCTGTTTGGCCAGGCTGGGTTTGAACTCGCTATCCTTGGTGAATGGGGCCAGTGCCCCACCCACTGAATCAAGGGTGCCACCTGTAAGCAGGACTTTCTAAGAAAGTAGCCTCAGGCCTGCTATGTTTTTTTCATATCCATTTTCAAATGGATAATAAACATAAAGAGAAGATTAACGTTGGTTCTTTAAACAGATTAATAAAGTTGATGGCCAGTGAAACTGATCAAGAAGAGAGAAAGCCAAATAAACCAATATTGGGGATGAGAAGAAACATCACTACAGAACCCAAGAACATGTTACAAACAACTTAATAAAAATAAATTTGAAGGGGCTAGGCATGGTAGCTCATGCCTGTAATCCCAGCACTCTGGGAGGCCGAGGCAGGTGGATTGCCCGAGCTCACAGGTTCGAGACCAGCATGAGCCAGAGCAAGACCTCATCTCTAAAAATAACCCAGCATTGTGGCGGGCACCTATAGTCTCACCTACTCAGAAGGCTGAGGCAACAGAATTGCTTGTACCCAAGAGTTAGAGCTTGCTGTGAGCTATGACGTCACAACACTCTACCAAGGGTAATAAAGTGAGACTGTCTCAAATTAAAAAAAAAATTTAGGGCGGTGCCTGGGATCAAAGGAGTAGGGCTCAGGCCCCATATGCAGGAGGTGGCGGGTTCAAACCCAGCCCCGGCCAAAAACTGCAAAATAAATTTAAAGATGTAGGTAAAACAGATAAATGCAAAAATAAAACTCCAGGACTAGATGGCCTTGCTGTCAAATTCTACCAAAATTTAAGGAATACTCATGCCAATGTCATATGACTCTTCCAAAAAAAAAAAGAAAAAAAGGAGGTGGCACCTGTAGCTCAGTGGGTAGGGTGCTGGCCACAAACACTAAAGCTGACAGGTTCAAACCCAGCTGGGGTTTAGCCTGGGCCAGCTAAAACAACGACAACTACAACAAAAAAACAGCCAGGCATTATGGCAGGCACCTGTAGTCCCAGCTACTTGGGAGGCTGAGGAAAGAGAATCACTTAAGACCAAGAGTTTGAGGTTGCTGTGAGCCATGACGTCACAGCACTCTACCCAGGATGACAGCTTGAGACTCTGTCTCAAAAAAAAAAAAAGAACACTATCCACTGCAAATCTTCATAAACCCAGGTGGTTTTACTTGACCAGCCATAACCATTATATAAAACCTGAAAAGAACATTTTTTTTAATTCAATCATAGCTGTGTACATTAATGCAGTCATGGGGTACAATGTGCTGGTGAACACAGCCTTTATGGCATTTTCTTAGTTATTGTGTTAAGACAGTTATACTCTACATTTAGTAAATTTCTTTTTTTTTTTTT